CTTTTTTGTTTTTTCTCCCCCCCCCCCCCCAAAGGTAATAAATTGTTTGTTCTGCTCAGATCGGGATCGTGCTGTTCCAGCCGTGGGGAGGTCCCATGTGGGATGAGGAGGATCACAGCAACATCATGTTCCTCACCATGTGCTTCTTCTGGCACTGGGCTGCTGCCGTGGTCATCCTGGCTATAAACTACACCCTGGCTTACTGGTATGGCTGGGGCATGGAGCAGGGCAGAGAGGGGTGGGGATGCTGGTGGAGGACAAAGTCATGGCTGAACAAGTTTTAGGGCATGGGCAACAGGTCTGTGGGTTGTTTGTTGAGCACACAGAAGGGTGTCAAGCAAGACGCACAAGCATTAAGCACCAGGAAGTCAAATAGCCCTGAAGCTGCTCCTGGAGCTCACACCCTTATTTTTTTTCTCTGCACTGGGCACTGAAAATCAAACTTCAAGAGAGAAATCCAAGTGCTCCCAGGAGCACCTGGCACTTGGTCTCCTCTCTTGTGGGGATTTTGGAGCAGCTGACACTGAGTTATAGAGGCTGAGCTATAGCACAGCACTGTCTGATGACTGAGACACCCCCAGCCCCCAGCTGGGCTTTCCCAAAGGGATGGGAAGGGGATGTTATCCCACTTCCAGGCCATGAGCCTCCCAGGGCTGCTGCTGCAGGAGGGGCAGCACGGCCTGTGTAAATAGACATGACATAGAATAAAAAATGAGCAAAGCCCAGCTTTTTCACAGAACCACAGAATCCCAGGGGTTGGAAGGGACCTGGAAAGCTCCCCCAGCCCAACCCCCCTGCCAGAGCAGGGGCACCCAGAAAAAAAAAGTGGCCAGGGGGGTTGGAATGTCTCCAGAGAAGGAGACTCCACAGCCTCTCTGGGCAGCCTGGCCCAGGGCTCTGGCACTCTCACAGCAAAGAAGTTCTTCCTGAGATTCACATGGAACCTCCTGGGCTCCAGTTTGCACCCACTGCCCCTTGTCCTGTCACTGGACATCACTGCACAAAGCCTGGCTCTGTCCTCCTGACACTGCCCTGAACAGATTTGTGCCCATGGATGAGGTGGCCCCTCAGTCTCCTCTTCTCCAAGCCCAACAGACCCAGCTCCCTTGGGTCTGGGCTCCCCGGGGTGGCTGGGGCTGGGTTCAGGAGGTGTGTGCTGGGTTCAGGAGCTGTGTGCTGGTTCAGGTGTGTGCTGGGTTCAGGTGTGTGCTGGTTCAGGTGTGTGCTCTGTGTCCCAGCTGTGCCCAGCGGTGCCGGCGGGACGGGCAGCGCTACATCGGGCTGGGCGTGCGGCGCGACGGGGACACATCCCAGGCTGCCTTCCTGCCCGGCTCCGACGAGGAGTGACACCCATCACCAACCCTTCTGCTGGAAGAAAAACGATGGTTGCAGCCCCCCAAAAAATCAAAGGAAGTGTTTCTACTTTGGAAGAGCCACGAGCCGGGCGGGCCCACGACCTGCTTGTCGCCGAACGAGCCACTTCGCCCTGATTTTTACCCCCAGAATGAAGTGCAGAAGCCCAACCTGATGAAATTGCCTTGTCCTGGGTGTTCCCACTTGTTTTTCCTGCTGCTCCCACACATGTTTCCATGGTGATGAGCAGCATCCTTTGTCCAGCTGACTTTTCCAAGCTCCTGAGGGCTCTCCCAACCTGCTGTGATTGAGGTCAAGGAAACCTTCAGGTCGTGTCTCTCCAGGCCAAGGTGTCAACCCAAGGAGAAGAAACAGAGTGATGAAGGCAAGATTAGCTCAAATTTGCAACAGCACAGCTTGATCTCACACTGTACAGATTTCATCACCAGAGTTGTGAACTGAAGGTGGGTTTTGTTGGTGGTTTTCATGTTCACTTAAAGGCTGAAAGAGTGAATAAATGTGAAATAAAACCCCTCACTGAGCAGGTATCCTTATATTTAAGTCTGATAAATTATAGAGTGTGTGGTAATAGCTCAGACAAATCCATCCCTCAGACCTGTAATGCCTTGAGGGGCTGTAAGATACATGGCTAAACAGCAGGGAATCCTAAAACCTCCCAGTTTTCCAAGGAAATTAAGCCCCTCAGCTTGCAAAACAAGATGAAACAGCCACACAGTTTGGTTTTTGCCACCTGAGCCCTCACACAGAGTGTCTGGGAATGTCACCTCCTGGACAGGGGGAAAATCTGCCAGTAGTGAATATGAGGATTCAGTAAGTACATAAATATCTATTTAAAGAAAATAAAGACCAGCTGAATTGCAACTGTTCATGTCTCAAAGGCTGGGGCTGGGAGGACACCCTGCACTGGGGTCTTTTCACTGCTGTTTGAGGGAGGGGTGGGGATGGCAGCTGATTTTTGTGCTCATGGCTGAACAGAAAAGCAGCTCCTGGAGGGTCCAAGAGCCTGGGGAGGGCAAAGCTCAACACCCATTACCCTTGTGCAAAGAGCCTGCTGCAGACTAAGGGGGGCACAGCCTCGATTTTATTGCTCATTACCAGTGCTGTAAAGACTAACTGGTTTTCCTTGACCACCAGCATTACTATATTTCCACCCCTGAGCAGTTCCTCTTGCAGGGGAGGTGCAAACAGGCTGGGTGCAGAGGGAATTAAGCAGCAGTGACCCATCTCCAGCAACCCACCTGATGAAGGCAGGGCCAGTAAGTCTCCTGAGTTGGAACTGCTGAACATGAGGAGCATTGTAGAGATAATGAACGTTGGGTTGTTTTTTTTTTCTGCCAAGTGGAACAGTTTTCCTAAACTGCACAAACTCCTCTGGCAGTGATTTCCTTTTGGAAACCAAACCCAACATCATTTCCCACTGAGCATCCACCCGAGGGCAGCACGGACCCCAGGCTGCCTGGGTCACCTTGCAGCCACCTTCCTCCTCCCTACCCCCCAAAAAAGAAACCCCCAGGGGTTATTTCCACCCAAAAGCACCTGGATTAAAGCCAACCTAGGGTTTTAAAAGCCTTTTAAGGTAGGAAAGGGTTGATTTCCTTCTTTGTGGCTCTTAATCGAGTCACCATCTCGTTCCACCTCGAGGTTTTTCTGTTGTCCCTTGTCCCCAGGTGGCCACAAAATGCCTTTTTCCCTCTGCCTCATTAACTCCCTGCTCCTCCAAACATCCCAGGACTCTCAGCATCGTGCTTGCTAATTTGTTTTCCAGCTTTGGAGCACATTCTTTCCTGGGGTATGAAGGTCAGTGAAGGAGGAGAGATACAGCCTGTGATTAAGGAAGAAAATACAGGTGGTTTTCAGGGCTGGATGAGAATTTTTAGCTAAAAAACACCTTTGTAAACAGCTTAGGAACCCAAAAAATGTTTCTGGGTGCAGGGTAAATGGTTTACTATGCAGGGAGGTGCAATCAGAACCATCCCTGTCTTTATATTTAAGTGTGATGGATACAGCAGCACGGCCTGAAAGGGAGTCATTGCTTGTAACACAACCCTAATATTGAGGTGGTTTTCAATATACAAATTGAATTCTCAGCCAGTGGCTTCGTAGCACACCCTGGGGTGCACAGGGGGAACATCTGTAGCCATGTCCAGAGCTGGATGTGCTGCCCTGCGTGATGTCTCAGGGGTGGTTTTTGCCCTGTTCAACTGCAGCCTGATGGTGTTGATCAGGAAGGAGCTGCTGATCATCCCAGTCATGACACCAAGGCTCCTCTTATGAGGGAACCCTGATAACACCCCCCAAAGCAGACTAATAAAGGGTAGATCTAGATTAGACATTAAGAATTCTTTGCTGTGAGGGTGGTGAGAGCCTGGCCCAGGTTGCCCAGGGAAGCTGTGGCTGCCCCATCCCTGGCAGTGTTGAAGGGCAGGTTGGATGGGGCTTGGAGCAGCCTGGGCTGGTGGGAGGTGTCCCTGCCCATGCAGGGGGGTTGGAACCTGATGATCTTTCAGGTCCCTTCCAACCCAAACCAGTCTGGGATTTCAGTGAAAAATGAAATTCAGTGAAATATCTTAGGAGGGGGCTCTTCCCCCAGCTACAAAGACAAGACCTTCATCAAGAGCCCACCCAGGAGCCCCTGGTTTCTGGGACAGAGATAGGATCTGCTGCTGCCACCCTTCCTGGCCATGGTTATGAAAGGCTGAAATGATGGTGGAGGCAGCAGGACAAGCCCTGCCTGTGCTCACACCACCTGCTTCACCTCCTCTGCTGCCTGTTTGTGAGAGCTGCTGTTAGCATGTGTCATCATGATAATAATAATCCTCATCATCATACTTTGCACTTCCCCAACAACCATCCATCTGCAGCCCTTGAGCTGCTGGCAAACCTTTAATTAGCTTGTGCCTCCCACCACCCCCCAGAAGGAGACAAACATGATCACATTTTTTTTTTTTTCATTAGCCCCAAGCCTGATGATGAACCTTCAGGTGAGAGGATGTTGCAGCTGAGGGAGGGTGGGGAAATAAAAAGAAAACAAACATGGGAAAATCAAATCAAATTCAGTTCAGGGTTTAGCTCGAGGGGCTGGAGTGGGTTGGACACAGAGATGCCTCCCTTGGTTTTTCCCTGGGAGGAAGAGCAGGGCAGGTGTCCCCAGCTTCACTGAGCTGCTGTCCCCTGCCACTTGTCACAATTTCACCCTTGTTTTTGTCATGGTGATGGTTTAAAAGCTTGGAAACCCCCTTTCCTCCACTAGTTCCTACACCTGCAAGACTAGTAGGTACTTTCATACAAGTTGCCCTTTTCATACACACTTTTCTCCATGAGCTTCACCCTTTGCTGGCCCCTTAAGCCATGGAAGAAGGCACCTTGGTCCTCTGAGCAGATCCCTGTCAGCTGGGCCTCCTTCCCTCCCCTCTCTCTCCACCTGCCACTCTCCCACATCCTTTTCCCACTTTCTCCAAGGGTTTGACTCCTCCTGCCTGGGAAGCAGCTTGGGCAAAGCTGCTTTCTGGGCTGATGGTTTGTTGAGCTGGGTGGTCACTTGGGAAAACTGAGCTGCTAAGAGGTCCCCAAGGCTGCTCTTTGCCCAGCAAGCAAGGTAAGTATTTATTGCTTTATTATTTTTAGGGATCAGTCTGTAAGGAAGAGCTCCTGTGGTGCTTGGGTTGATGGGGCAGTGAGCTCCTGGAGCTTGAGTGAAGCTGCTTGTGTTGGTGGAAGCCTCTTTGCTGCTGATGCTCCAGGACCCTTTTGCAGCCTTTCTCCAGGTGTCTTGGAGGTGGGGATGTGGCTCAGCTCCCTGCCAGCACCACCCCAGCTTCTCCTTGTCCTCCCTCCTACTTGCTGCTGCTGATGGAGAGATAATGGGGAGAACAGAGCTCCTGGCTATGGCTTGGTGGCTTTTATGGCTGGGCTGGAGAGCAGCCCATCACCCTGGGGAGGCTGGGGCAGGTTTGTTTCCTTGCTCTTCCAGCCTTGGGGCTTCCCTGGGGAGCTGGCTCACGTGTGTGGCCCTTGGCAGGGCTGGGCATGGCTTATCCTGCAGCTCTGCTGGGGTGTTGGTTTGGGGTTCTTTGGCTGGTTGCAGAAGGAGGGATGTTTTTGTGGTTGCAACCTGGAGAAGCACAAGGTTGGGAATGCACAGAGTGGTTGTTAGTGGTCCAGGGTGTTCCTGCACCATCAACACGGTGCTCAGGAGGGCAGTGGGGACACTGGGGTGGTCTGTGGTACCTCTTGACCTGGAGGCACTTGGAGTTCTCACCTTGGCAGCCGTGGCTGTGGCTGCTTGGGCAGCACAGAGAGTGGAAACCAGCCCATCTGCTGGGGGAGGCAGGACCATCATCATCATCCTCCCCTTGGCTGGGAGAGAGGGCTCAGCAGGGCTCTGCTGTGCTTTGGGAGCTCCTGGCCCAAAACCTCCTGCCTACAGGCACTTTTGATAGAGGACCCCCCCCTTGAAAGGGTTTTATCATGTACCTGGTTGCCCTGTTCAGAGACTTCAGAGCCTGACCACAGCCTTGGCCCTTCTTGGCTCCTTCCAAATAAAACCCAGCACACCAACAGAACCCCTGTGGTTGCCATGGGCATGGGCTGCTCATCCTGATTCTTGTGGCAAACTCTGGCAGCTATTTATTTATTTTTTTACTCTAATAGCAGACACCAGGTGTCCCAGGTTGTGAAAGGTGGTTGACTCAGCCTGCTTTGAACTGGCCCACAGGATGTTCTGCTCCAAACATCCTGTCTGAGGGCCACCTCCCCGTGGTGACATCTCCCTTTATCTGCCTCTTCTGAGTAATAACTGCTCTTTGCTGCCACATCTGGAGCTGGGAGAAGGACAGGCAGGAGTGGCAGGTAAATTCTCCTACCCATCAAGAGAAATGTGCTGGGGATGTGGCTGGTCGAGCCTGGGGAGGGGTGTGGAGAGAGGGTCCATCTCTGCCAGGCAAAGGTTTAGTGTGATGTGAAAGTGGTGCTGATGGAGGTGGTCTACCCACAATCTGTGGTTTTAGCTTGGTTCTTTTTGGGGTTATCAGGTTTTGGGGGTGCATCGTGGCAGAGGAGCAGCTCTGCCCTGGAGCCAGGCTGGGAGAGCTGGGGTGTTCAGCCTGGAGAAGAGAAGGCTCCAGGGAGACCTTAGAGCACCTTCCAGTGCCTGAAGGGGCTCCAGGAAAGCTGGGGAGGGACTTGGGACAAGGGCAGGGAGGGAGAAGACAAGGGGGGATGCATTGAAATTGGAAGAGGGGAGGTTTAGATGAGGTATCAGGAAGAAATTCTTTCCTGTGAGGGTGATGGGACAGAGAAGCTGTGGCTGCCCCATCCCTGGCAGTGTTGAAGGGCAGGTTGGATGGGGCTTGGAGCAGCCTGGGCTGGTGGGAGGTGTCCCTGCCCATGCAGGGGGGTTGGGACTGGGTGATCTTGAAGGTCCCTTCCAACCCAAACCATTCTATGAGTCTGTGACTTTCAGGAGGGAGAAGTTTACTCTCTTCTGTTAGGTGAGGGCAGTTGGCAAGAGAGATGTGCCTGGGCAGCAAGGATGGAGGAGGATCCACAATGAAAAGACCTTCCAAGTGGTTTTGGCCTGATGCTGAGCTTGCCCTGGGCTGCTGCCAGGCTGATGGTTGCAGCCAAGGGGATGCTGATGGTTCTGCATGGACCAGCATCCGCCTGGCAGCATTAGCAGGAACAAACCAAAATACTCCATGGTGAAGGGCCTGGAGAGCCTGGAAATGGGGTAGAAATGTCCTCCTTCCCGGGGAGGGTGCAAGCAGGAAACCCTGTGAGGAGGGCAAGGAGCTCCCATGTGGCTCTTAAAAAGCCTGGAAGCTGCAGAGGCAGATGGGCAGCCCAGGGAATAACTCCTGACTGCAGCCTTATTCCAGGTCCTCTGGCAGCTAAACCAGCTCCCAGGGACCATAAATACCTCACTTGCTATCTTGGTTGCTTGGAAACACGTTTGGTTTCCCAGATTTCTGGCTGATTTATAACATAAGGTGTGTTTTCTGTGTTGCTTTGGTTTTGGTGGGTTGTGTTTTTTTGGGTGGGCCACATCCAAGCTTCTGCTTGATCCCAGTGTGGGTCTGGGATGTCTTTGCCAGGTGTGAGGTATCCCAGGATAGGTGGTGGGTGCTGAGGAGCTGTGTCCTGGTGGTAGGAAGCAAAGGAGACTTGTGGCAACAACCAAAAGCTTTGCTGACTTGGGCTGCCAAGAGGTTACAGAGTGAATGGGTCCCCAGCACCAAAGGGAGAGGCTGCCCTGCTGGGGAGGGGGTGGTTGGGGCTGGAGACCCCAGCTCTGACCCCGAGTGGTTTGGGGTGCTGAAGGTGATGGGGGGGTGCCCGGTGGATGTGGGGGGATAAACCCCCTGGTTACAGCTGGATGCTGCTCAGAGCAGCCTCTGGAGCTGCAGGTGGGACGTGTCAGGTGTCATTTCTGCTGCCTGGGCCCTGGGAGGTCTCTGTTCTCCTCCAGTTAACCTGTCAAATCAACACTTGTGCTCCGTGTGCTGCTCAGGGTCAGCTCCTGACTCCAGCCTCAGGCTCCTGTGGCCACAGCCCCTGCAGGACAGTGACAACACTTGGCTCTGCACTGGCAGTTTGCAGTGCTGAGATGTGTCCCAGTGCTCATCCCCAGCCACTGCAGCAGGGAGGTGCCTCTGCAGGAGGATGCATGTCCTGGACTGGGTGTCCAGGCTATAATCAGGACAGACATGAGTCTTTCTGGGACATGAACCATCTCACCCTAATGTAGGTGTCCAGCACAGAGCAGAAAGCCACCACTGATCCCTCAACCAGCTCCTCATCTGCCTGAAGGGCTCTTTAGTAGCCTCCCTCTTGCAGGTGAACCTTCATGTGCTGTAAAGAGTGTTGAGCTGGTCCTGGAGATGCAGTGGATGATGATGGGCTCTACACCCTGATCTCCTGCTCCCCCATGCAGGGCTGAACCAGTTTGGCTCCAGCTCTGCAGCCAAAACCCAACCAGGAATGTCTGGCAGAGCTCTCCTCACCCACGGCACTTGCCACGTCCTCCTGGATTAATGACTTTCTGGTGTGGGAGGGACTTGAAGAACATGCTGGGGTTGTTCCTCCAGCCTCTGCCATGGGCTTGGGGATCTATAAGCACGGGTGGCAGGTCGGTGTGGCAGCCCCAGGATGAGTAATGCTCCTTCCATGCATGTCCTGGCTCTGGAAAAGAACCAGAAAGGAGGGAAAGGGTGAGACTTCCTGGGGTTGTAGGTACATGAAGAGACAGGCCTTGCTGGAGGAACCCAGACCACCCCAAGGTAACACTGAAAGCTCAGTGCTGAGATCATTCCTTGGTCATTACTCACTTGACATCACTGCTCGTTCCTTTCTGTTCTTCCTGGGATTATTTTTGTTTTCCAACAGTCTGAGTAGGGGGTAAATACTTGCAGGGTTTTACTGCTGTGCCTCTGCTCCTCTCCAGCCTTGCTGGGACTGGTGTCTGTCCAGCTCAGCACCAGGGTAATTGACCTTCATGCCTGGAGCCTTCAAGCTCTTCCTGAAGGAGATGGAATCTCT